TTTCCTGGCCATAAAATACTTTCCAGCTGAATTATTCCAAGTTAGGAGTACCTTTGATATTCTGGTCTTTAAAGGAAATGGATTTGTTGATCATGGGAATTATATAGGTATACACGATTCAATTCTGAGCATTAGATAAATTACAGAATTCTGGGTGACGTTGCAGCTTCCACTTGTTGTATAGAGCCGTGAAAATATGTCAAGATAATGATTTAGAAGCTAACCAGCTGATGTAATGTAAGATGTATGATGTAATGTTGGGAATGACTCAGCAGGGTCTATGTTTCTTTAAGAGCAAGCAGGGTCTGTATCTCTTTTAAGAGCCTTGTATAAAAGGGAAGGCTCTGCAGATGTGTGCTCTCTTTTGTTTCCTGCTGTAACTGCTGTATGTTGGAGACTGCTGCATTAACACGTACAGTATATGTATATTGTTCCTGGTGTATGATATTGTAGATAGTGTAAGATAAACCACCATTTAATATAGACCACTGTTTACTGTGTTTACTCCTGGGTTATCTCAACGCAATAAGACTGCATGCTCTGACAAAATATTTTCCCCCACTGAATGTAGTATGTATATTCTGAAACTGCTCTAAATAGTTTGGGTTGCTACTGTATTCTGGAATCTCTGCTGATACATGTACCAATATAAATAATATAAACCATATTTATCATTCAGCAGCTAAGCACTGCTGGCATGACCCTAAGGCTTATGTGAAGAGGTACATCTTGAGCAATTAAAAAACTTGTATTGTACTGAAGATGCCAAGTATGCTTTCAGAGACAGGAAAATCCAGAGCCAGAGCCATTCATCTAACCTTGGTTTAGGTTATAACCTTGGTTTAGGTCATAACTATATCACTCATCATGCATAAGGGGCATTTCCCTACCCACCCCTGCAAGATACCTTAAAGGTGGATTAGTAGTCTAATACAAATTAGAGCCCTGAATAGAAAAGAAAATGCCAGATGTTCAAGCTTCCTTTGAAAAAGGCTGAGGAACATGAAACATTATTAGTGATGCATGCTGGATAATTAAGAAAGCCAAAGACTATCAAAAGAAGTCACTATGTGCTTCATTGATTATAGAAAGGCCTTTGATTGTATCAATGTAATGTAATAGTTATAATCTAAAATATCATAACTATCAAGATAAATAGGAAGGCAAAAATGCCAAAATAAAACAAGCAAACTCAGGTGGGTTCTGACAAAGGTTTATTTTAATTATAAAACAAGAATAAGGAATTCCTGGAAATGACAGACCTGTTAATTAAGCCAGATCTTTGCTGTCATATACAGGCTGCTCAGCTTTCCATGCCCATTGACAGGTTAAAAGTATATCAATTTAAATACATGCACATTTCATACTTTATATAGACTTATAAATATAAGGATGGGGAAAATGTTAGATATGAATGCAGCTATATTTTTCCACAAGTATAAAGCAGGTCTACTGTCTCTGAACTGACCTTAGTCAATAGTGTCACCTGGTGTGGAACATAACATACAGTACAAATAATTCATATCCTAGAATTGAGACACAAGTTTGAAATGCAATCTCTTTTAGGTCTCTGTTCAGTGAAGTTCTAAGTATTATTGCACATCACTGAAAATAGAGCCTACAGTGTATTCCAGAAAGCGAAGGGGCGTTGTCTTACCAGAACGCCTTTTCTCAGCATGATGATGGAGAATCCACAAGTGGGTTGTCTTAATCCTCCTGCTCAAATTAGACTAAGTCTGGAAAGTTGCCACGCCTTCTGCTGGGCTAGAGCACCCCAGTTTACGACGAAGGTGAGGCACAGACAATAGTCCGACGCAAAGGCTCCTCCTACCCTGGACATAGGACCTGACGGACACTAAAGGGAGGGTGTGGATTCTCCATCATCATGCTGAGAAAAGGCGTTCAGGTAAGGCAACGCCCCTTCTCCAGCATGATGGATGGAGAATCCACGAATGGGACATACCAAAGCCCCGCTGTCCCTAAGGGGGGGAACCAGTCTAGTCCTGTGTCTCACTGGCTGATACCACTTGCTGTAATACCCTCCGTCCAAACGAGGCATCCGTGGAGGCAAATTTGTCTATTTTGTAATGTTTGACAAACGAGGAAGGTGAGGACCAAGTCACCACCCTGCAGATCTCCCCGACAGATGCTTGGGTCGCCCAAGCCGCCGATGTAGCAGCACTGCGGGTGGAATGGGCAGTGATGCGACCAGGAACGGGCAATGAATGTGACTGGTATGCTTGCGCAATGCAAGCCCTAATCCACCTGCCTGTGATCGAGGAGGAAACCTTCTGACCCATGGAAGAGGGTTGAAAGGAAACAAACAGTGCCTCGGATTTACGGAAGGCAGAAGTCCGTTTGATATAACGTCGCAGGGCCCTGCGAACGTCCAGAGTGTGCCATCGTTTTTCTAGTTCATGAGATGGGGGAGGGCAGAAATTAGGAAGCACCGCCTCCTGGGACCTGTGGTACAAGGAATTAACCTTGGGGACAAATGAAGGATCCAGGTGAAGGGTCACCCTGTCCGCATGGAAAACGCACAGGTCCTCTCTAACAAAGAGGGCAGCCAGCTCAAATATTTGCCTGGCTGACGTGACCGCTACGAGGAAAGCCAACTTCATAGACAGTAGCCGCAGCGTACATGTCTTAATGGGTTCAAACGGTGGCGAGGTAAGGGCCTGTAAGACCTGGGGTAGGTCCCAAGAGGGATAACAACGGACCGCTGGTGGCTTGGCGTTAGTCGCCCCCTTGATGAAGGAACGCACCATAGGGTGGTGTGCCAAAGGGGCGGTTTAGAGGGAAAGTGAGCCAAATTAATTCCAATTATTTTCCAATTAAGGTAATGAAGGAGGAAAATCCACAAGTGGAAAGAATACAACCTGCAGTTAAATCTGGAAAGGAGCACAATTTACGCGTCTGCTGAGCAAGAGACTAAGTCATAAACGGGTGTGCTCTAGCCCAGCAGAAGGCGTGGCAACTTTCCAGACTTAGTCTAATTTGAGCAGGAGGATTAAGACAACCCACTCGTGGATTCTCCATCCATCATGCTGGAGAAAGAATCATTTCTTTACTGGAAGTAATAGAGAGGACAACATGATCATAATGCAAAAAGTAGAATATTCCTTTTACTCTTAGAGAAGACAACTACCTTGGGTTGCAAACTTGCTTGGGAATAAATCCTGTAGGAAAAAATGGTACCATTTCTGAGTAAACATGAGTTTACTTTGCATTTGCTAAAGTTATAGGAAGGAAAGTTCCAAAAATATGATTAAGTAACTACGAGGAATTTCTCCATATCCTCATATGCACTAGTTAAATGGAGAAATGTACATTAAAATTGACAGAAGGAATGATAAAAAATTACACATGAAAAAGCAATCCGATTATTAAAACTACAATTCAAAACAGGTTTACTAGAATGCATAACATTTTGGAGCTTACAAGGAAGTATGTGTGTTTTGGATGTAGCTTTTAAGAAATCAAGTTATTCTAATCAGCCAATGCTTCCAATACGTTATGGATTAAAATTTTAGAAATGTTATATTTTATATCAGCAGTTCTCTACCACACATCCACAATAATTGTGATAAAGAAGAGATGTGGTTCTAAAAGCAGGTACAGTTATGTCATATCGAAAGAACATTCAGAACTATATTCACTGTCACTCTAATTCTTTCTGTGTTGCAATAATCAATATAGGTATAAAATACTTATGTAATAGAAAAATATTTTGTTATCAGATTGCACTCTGAAAATTCAACACAAAAGTTCTGAGGCATTTCAAAAGCATGGAATTAATGAAGCATTCTTTCTCATTTCTCTACTGTTCCATTCACTCAGAATCTTCTATTTTTCCAAAGGAAGGAAAACTTATTTTCCCTACCAAGAATTTTTCTGAGCTTAAACTTAAACAGCCTTTCTCATCTGGCACCATCAGTACAGCATCTTTGAGCACCAAATTCCAGCAAGCTGTCCTGTAATGTTTATAGATAACAGGGCTTGTGGTCCATCACATAATCTTTCAAAAGTTTTTATTTAAAAAAGGGGACTAAAATATTTGGACTACAATCTACTGTAGTTACTTTATTAGGTTTGTATTTTATAGTTGATATATTGTACAAGTGAATATTATCTCTGAATATTAGCAGATTTTCTATGTTCTTACCAAGTATTAGGAGAAAGTGGAGACAAATTAATAGTCTCTCAAAGGAAAAGTTCACAGATCTTCTAGTTTCTGAAAAAAATCCAATTTAATTAATAAAAATTTAATACAGTATAATGAAAGCCTGACATTGAGGGAAAGGTATGTGTGTGTGTGTTTTCTCAGTGAGTAGTTGTCATTGCCATATAATGCTTTCTTAATCATGCTCAGCAGAGAATAAAGAAAGGCATATTATACTTGTTTGCTCCTCAAACTGATTCTAGTGTTCTGTTACAAGTATTTACAGGAAAAAATGAAGTGGGCCCAAAACCTGGTTAAATAAATAATTGTTGTTTTAAAAAAAAAACAGCTACAAGATGCTCCTCATTCAATCTGGATGTTAGCATATGGAGAGGAAGGTGTTTATAGGAATGGATATAACCAATACAACTATACTTATAGATTTAAATCTCAGACTTAAATAATAGGTCTTAACATTGATTTTGGATGTACTTCTAGAATTGAAAATTACTTATCTATACTCTTAATCTGAAAGTTGTACATTGCATGTTTTTTGAAAATTATATCAGTTATTTATTGTATTAGTCAAATTAATTTCGCCTTCCTTAAAATATGGTGTCACTGCTTACAGTAAGACCTTCATTTCTACCCATTGTACATTTTTTTAACATATAAAAGATTAACATAGCACAAGGGTTAAGGCTATTCTATCTGGTATTGAAAATATCAGATTTTCAAAATAAGCAATAGAATAGAGGGTTATTTTGGTATCAACAATCCACACTTAGAAATCTATTACTGTGTATATTTATTTCTATTGCAGACTGGCTTATATTTTCTGTTTAAGAAGTATGACTCAAAATAATTTCTCAGTGAATGTTTTTAGTTTTTTTCTCCTATAAAAAATTTAAAGCATGTTCAAGCTTATTGTTTAATATTGTTAAATTTACAACTTTGAGGTTAGAAAATATTGCAACAATGGTAATGAAATTAGTACATTTGGGAAGAGATGGCTAAGATATCCCTGTTACTTTAGTTTGTGCAGGTGGATTTCCTAATTTCTACTTTCTCAGTAGAGGATAGTAAAAAAAGTGAACCAAGACAAAAACAAATTTAATAAGCAAATACATTATTTGATTTTATGACCATATTTCTTCTGATATCACCACATGACATGCAATTCAATAAATATTCTCCCTATCAAGTCCGAAATGCCACTTTTGAACCATGGCATGAATTTATAAGATAGGTATCTAATACAGTAGAGTTTTAAAAGGAAATGCCCTTGTGAATTGAGATATTTTTCACTGTGTTTGCTAGCTCTGTCCATTATGTCTGCTAAAAGTATTTCCTCCAGGTGGCTGGATCTGGATGGAGTCAAGAAGTGGTCGTAATGCTTGTCCAAATGGTCTGTGACAGTAAGAAGCATGGGAGAAGAGTTTAAGTTTTCAAAATACTCTGTAACTAAAAATATTAAACTTAAAAACAAGACACCTAAGAACCTTGGTGAGAAACTGGCTATTTATAGTACAATCCTTAAGAGACATATGGAGAAATGAACCTATATAAGCAGGATGAAGAAAAGGGAAGCCAATCCAAAACGTTCTCTATAATAGCACAGAACCTAGACATGGAATTTTTATTTTTGTCTTCTTTTTTCCTGAGGGCTTTGTGTTTCTTTGCTTCATAGCTCCACAGCATTAGATGCTGAATTGCTCTGCAATTAACTCTATAATTTGACAGTGAACTGCTAAGCACATTGAAGAGGTGTGCCCTAAGAATATATTCAATGTATTAGGGGAAGAGGTGGGCAGTCCACAGAGCCCTTTTTTGTTTTTGCATACAGGTGGCCTTTGGTTAATAATAATAATTGGGACCAGAATTTGTGATACTAACCAATATGGTTGTAAAGCATTACATGACATGACCACATTGTTTAGCGATGGAAATTCTGGTGCCCTCATGAATTGAATCCCACCAGTTGTTAGATGAGGAGCAGTGGCAGAACTGGTGGTGCTCGTAATTAAGTAGAGGCCCAGGGATGACTGTGATCAGCTAAAACTATTGGAGCTCCCTAGGCCTCTACTTCAGTGCCTATCGCCATCACCAAGAAGTGCTGCCAGGCAAGGTGTCCAAAAGGAAGAGTTGGGGAAGCGGCTGATACCTCCCTGTGGTTGTAAGTGTGGGTGGATTGCCAAATGTGACTGCAATGGCACTGCAACAGCTGTACCTTGGGGGACTGGGTGTAGCATTCATTCAGTGCTGCCATAACTTCAAATGGTTGTTAAATGAGGACTATCTGGACCCCGTTTTTTGCAGATTGCTGATTTTGATGGCACATCACTGAAAAATGAAACTACACTTTCCTGCAGCTTCTAAACAAAAAAAAATACAATTGAAACAAGCCTTCTTTTAAATTTAGTATCAAAGAAGTCAATTTTACTCCTGGAAATTACTATCCTGTCTACAATCTTGGGACAGATATTAATGCTGCAACTAGTACTGTACTTCTAGGAATAGTAGGAAGTCCCAGACAATGCAAGTTTCCCTCTCCATCTTGGTGAATGGGGATGCACACACGTTGTATGCTGCTTTAATAGCAGTTATCTACAGCCCAAAACATGACCCCTATCTACTTAGCAAAGGGTGGAGTTACTGCGCTTTTATTTCTGTCACAATACAGTTATAATGACATTAAAATGTTTCTTGCCACTTTAGACTGCATGCTATGGCTGATTTAATCTGAGGGTTTTTTTTACCTCCAAATCATATACTTAAGCTCTTTTTTGTCTGTAAAAGTTATTGTATATTGAATTACCACCAGTAGTGGCAAATCTTGGGGGAAAAAATTCAGAAGGAAGTTAATGTAGTTCCTGATATAAATTGGGAGCATATTCTGTAGTTGGGACTTCTCTGTTTTCTTCATCAAAAGAGTGGCCAATTTAAGAATACTTTTGGTTTTTATTTTTTAATATATTTGATATAGTTTGGACTTGTGTCATTTGCTTGTAGGTGAGCCTAGGAGGCAGATCACTGTCCCAAGCTGTCTCGCCCTTAAAAATTCTGAGAAGGCACGGTTGTTAAAGTTAGCATGCAATGTGGTAGTATAAACATGGTATACTGTATAAAAAAAAGATTGCACTTACGTTGCAAGGACTTCAGATGGAAGATCTGTAATGTAGGAAGGGATCTTTCTCCCTGTCAAGAATTGTGCCACTTCATTGCTGAATGTATTACAATTATGATCAAAAAGATTATAGGAGTCTCCTCTGTGAGCCACCAAAAAATCAAAGAGAATGAACATGAGTAAGATGTAACGCAGAAAAAGTCTCAAGGGTTCAAGCATATAAAAACAATTCATAATTACAACATTCAGATCAAAAGCTAACTGAATCAATGACTGAATAAGCAGTCTTCTGTATTTCTATTTAACTATATTTTGTTTCATACAAACCTTCTGTTCTACAATACATCAATCCAGAAGTGACATCATTACAACAATCAACTGTAATCAGCATAGTATACTGACTCTTCCTAGTTTATTCTTATATTCTAATATCTTAGGTGATTTCAAATCTAGAGTGTCTATATAATTTCAGAATTTTACATAAAATTTATATAAAATATTAAAAGAATTCTAATAAATTATTCCCTTCACAGAATATTAGAATAGAAACTAAACAGCAGAATCTCACCGGAATATAGATTCCCCCAATGAGGACAAATATTCTAAGAAGAGGTCTTCTGAAACTTCAGTATATCCCAGATCTACAATAGAATCTGGAGGCCCAAGCAGTGTTCCACCCTACAAAATTTGCATTCATTGGGTTACTAAATCATCACAAAAATTTCTCAGTATCTTTTATAGAATAATTTAAGCTGAAAACTTTCTGCAACTTTCACAATTTGCTCACATCAACTGGAAACTTCCAGAATTTACTCACATCTGCTATCACTGCTGGTAGTAAAACTGACAGTAATATTTCAAAGGATCCTCATATAACCTCTTAATCTGGAGACTTGGACTAGCAAGAAAACACGTTTGCTTCTGATAGAGATGTGAGTCCCCCCCCCCCACATCTTGCTTTACAGAAGAGAAATATAGTGGCTTTAGAAGAGGGACCAGGACTTTAGTTTGTCAGTTAAGGTAAGTCAGATAAGTCTCTTAATTTTTTTTTCAGTAGATAAAAACCCATTGTATATGGCTAAATTAAAATCAGCACTGCCTGACTCATAATTGCATTAGGAAATCAGATTCAGAAAGAAATATCTTTGATTTAAACCAAGTTTTGCAGAGTTGAATGACTTGTCTTGTTTCCGCAAACTAATTTGCTGTCCTCAATTCTGATGGAGGCCCCATCTCATTACTATCATTACTAGGACTGCAAAACTAGTTAATGTTTTGTCTCTTACATCAATCAGCAAGACATTTGGGTAATCCCTAATTTTGTTTTATAATATCTTATTGTATTTATTTTTTTTAAAATGTCCTCTTGATAGAAAGCCAGGATAATAATAATAATCTGTTTTTTTGCTTTAAAATTTCATTTGTCATCTACTCTTACACATTTTGGTCAAAACTTTGTTTAGTTATTTCATTTCTAAGTTCTTGTGATTTTACAGGTGATGCTGAAGTTTATAATTTCCCTATGTAAGAATGGTAATACTAATTTCAAAAAATACAAAATGAATTGAAATCAACTGAGTAAAGGAGAAAAAAACTGGAATAACTTCTCAAATGCCTGTAAACTTACAGGTGGACAACTTGAAATTCCCCCACTACCATAGAAGAATTCATCCCTGTGGGCAACTATGGAGGTGTGCCTGAGAATAAAGAAACAGCAGGTTAAAAGAAAGAGTAAATCTCTAGCCAATATGTAGCCTAACAGTTTATCAAGGGTAATACAAATGCAAACAGAGTATTTAGTCTCATCTGCCTTTAGACAAAATGTTTTGTCTTACCCTATGTAACACTGCAGAATGTTCAGAATTTCAGACATTCCCAATTCATTCTTCTTCCTTTAACTTTTATCTCTTGCCTCCAGCAGCCAATCAGCATTTTATGACAAATGCTTGCTCCTATTAATGTGTTTGGGGGAGGGGTGTATTTATTTATTTATTTATTTATTTTGCCACCCATCTCATATCAAATTGATTCTGGGCAGGTTACAATATTAAAACCAATTAAAATAATTAAAAAATATATTTTAAAACAATAAACATGGAAATGACAATAAAAATATTTATAGTTAAAATTATAGTTAAAAGATGGGGAGGGAGGGAACAGGGTGCACCAAGAGGAGGAGCTGGGATTGTTTCTTAATTCATCAAACACCTCCGGTGTGATGCTTCCCTATTGGGATCCCAAGCCATCTGGCAGAGCCAAGTCTTCAGGCCCTTATGGAAGGTCAGAGGGTTAGGTGGGAGCCAATCTCACCTCAGGGGTAAGATGTTCCAAAGGGCAGGAGCCATGGCACAGAAGGCCCTTCTGCTGGAACCCGCCAGCTAGAATTCCTTGATTGTTGAGGCCCACAGCAGATGGGGTGGGCCAGACCTAGGGGGTGAGACAGTTCCTCAAGTAACATGGACCCATGCTATGCAGGGCTTTAAACGTGATAACACCTTGAATTGTACCCAGAAGCAAACTGGCAGCCAGAGCAGCTCATGGAGCAATGGTGTAACATGGGCCATCCTAGGGCCCTCAAGAACTGCCTGTACCGCCGCACTCTGCACCAGTTGATGATTCTGAATTGTCTTCAAGGATACACCCATGTGGAGTGCATTACAGTAGTCCAGATGTGAGATGACCAGGTCTTGAATGATTGAGTTCAGGGACTTTTTTTGTTCCCCCACTGGCCCTACTTCTTTCTGATTATTATTATTTTTTGCACTGACTGTAACTACATCAAAATAATTAGATTTCTTTGTTAATTTTTAATCCCTTGACCACACTATCTAAATTATGTAGAGCGTAACAGTAGGGATCTCCCATAGTACAAACATTCCAATTAATTTTGACTAGTTACTTACCAGATGCCCTCTAATTGCTTACCTGTATACAAAAGAAGAAAGCAATAAGTATCAGCAACTTCATTTATTGTGACCATTTACTTATCATATTCACATTTCCTTACATAATTTCATATACAGTCTTTAAAATATTGTAACTTTCTAAAGCAATAAAGGAGATACTATATTTGCTATCTTCAGTCCAGTTGACATGTGTACTCAAGCTTTATGCTGATAAAAGTACTATATATTAATCTTCATGAAAAATACACCATTTTTGAGTAACACATACCCTTTCTAAATTAGTTTTCTTAGAAAGAGCTCAGAAGATTAACTACTTCATTTTTTAAAAAACCTGTGAGAACACCTTTTTTCTTGAAGATTCTTAAAGTATGGCAGGCGTATAAAGGATTTGTGATGTAATATGTAAAGTTGATTCATAATATCTATATTAATAATAAGATAATTCAGAGTAATTTTTTCTCTTAGATCAAATAAAACATATTGATGAATTACTTTTTATTTACATCTGATCTAATATGTTAGAAATGATGTATCATCAGTGCAACATATTGCATCAAGTGAATATTGCCCCCCTGCTCAATTCTCAGTATATATGAACATTTCAATACTATCTCTACAGAACTGGAAGCAGATATTATTGGATATATTGGTATGTGCTTTTGATGAGGTATATATGAAATTGGATTTTACAGATTCTTCATAAATCTAAGCAGTATTTGAATTTTCTGTTTAGTTGCTTTTAAGTGGGAAGATGATTTTTAAAACTCTACACTCTCCCCATCTGGAAATTAAAACTCTTAGGATAAACTCGACAGAACATGCCCAATAAAAGTAAAACTTAGCTTTAACTAGTACTGTGGAGTCCTTGGAGTACTCTGAGCTTGGTTGTTTTCTTGCAGATGACCCTAACCCTAACCCAGACCGAATACACATATTAACTGATAAGGTCTGCAAACACAGAGTTAATTAAATTAGGTCTCCCAGAGGAACTGCATGCTAACAAGAATAAACATACCCCCACACACACGCACATACACCCCTCAAATGTCATCCAAGAATGAGCACATGGCACCCTGAACAAGCTCTCCCTATAAAAATCTACTGCTGTGCCTCATTTCTCAGCAACCTGCCTCTAAAGGCAAACTGTTTTGCTTTAAGAAATAAATATTTCTTCTTTCCTCACAAAAAACAACAACTAGACAACATCATCAGTGCTAGTAAGGAATGGAGTTTGCTCTCATTTTATAAACTACTGGCTTGCCCTATCTCTATTGGTGGGAATGGTCTTGGTGGTTCCTTGACTGGACTAATATTTATTGTTAGCTCATTTGGCAATTCCTTGATTGGGATATTGTTTGCTTCTTGATTGTTAGCCTAAAGTTAATCTTGGTGTTAATCTCTGCCCATCTGGGTGCTGATTGCTGGTGAGTTGTATTGGACTTTTTGTTTCCTAGTTGGCTTTTTGATTGTCTCTTTTGAATGGCATGCAGAAGTTGTGTCTGCTGGTGGTTGATTTGTCTGAGTGTCAGGCTTCCAGGAATTCTCTAGCATTTTTGGACTTGATTTGGTTTAGTTGAAACTATGTTTAAGCCTATCCATGCATTGTGAAATTAAGAAGTTTTCATCATGTTTTCTGACAATTGTGAATTAGTACAGAGTTCAATGTGGGAGGTACTTGCAATTCTGTTGAAATTCAAATGAGTTGCTTTATGGTTACACTTTTCTTCATCACAATGACAGTGCAAGTTCAACACATTATTGATTGAATCTTTCTTTCAAAAATAGAAATACAGCACTTTGATAAACAGTAAATTAATTTTTAAGAAAAATTATCCTTTTTGGACTTCAGTATTGTGGAATCCCTCAACTGCTAAACATTTACTTTGCAAATGCACATTTATATGTTGAGGATACATAACAACTCAACATGAATATCTAAGTTCAGTGCTGCTTTGCAGATACAGGGAATGGATATATATTATGGATTAAAAATAATCTTCCATCAATAGTGTGGAAATAGTATTAAGATTATTTAGTTTGCTTCTTCTCAGTTCCATGATTTTATTCTGACAAGTGATACAAAATCATTTTATATGATCATATAAAATCATATACTGCTCCGGTTACCACTTTTACTGATCAGAAATTAATTTTAAGAATAAAAGATCTACCTATGCTACATCCAAAAGAAAGTTACTTATAGGCCAGTAGTTAAAAGTTACTAGTTTGATTAAATCTTATGTATTTAAAATACATATATGAAATTAAATGATTTAACCCTTCAAAGATCATCACTTTGTAGCAGTAAATGAGGTTGTCCATTCCAGTTATGACATGAACTATACTGTTGGGAGCGGATACTCCCAGAAGGGAGTAACAGTCAGTAGATCACAGCTGAGTGATCAGATTAAGCACAATCCACTGGAGAAAGAAATGACAACTCATTCCACTATTCTACCAAGAAAACAAAATGAAATTCACAACTAGGACAATAGCAGTAGAGGAACAGTAGAAGACAATTATGTGTAGCACTGATGATGATCATGTGGCTGGACTAAGGCTGACATAATGTTCAGCTGCTGGTATGTTCAGAGACAAAAGACAAGTTTGATCCTGCAAATATATATTTCTCTCTCTCTCTCTTTCTCTCTCTCTGTGTTTGTGTCTGTAAACATATATACACACACAAAAAAGTTGATACAAAAAATGTTAGAATCATAAACCAAAGCATCTGGATGTTATCAGAGCAGAAGCACCAAGTCTATACACAAACATTCTGGGACTTAGAAAACTGTAAAGTTGGAATAAGTCACTTCTCATAAAAAAAAAAACACCAGATATTCTACAGTGAACAAGAACATCAGACAAGAAATGAAATAGTTATAATTATTAGCAAAAAAAGTGTTAAACCCAGTGCAAACAAAATTCAAGTTACAGCTCAACAAATCAAAGGAGAATTTCAATTCAAGTTCCAATTAAGAAGTTCAATGTTAAGGTGATCCCTGTATCCCATATGTGAAGATGAGGCTGATAATGAATAGTTGTATCCTGACATGCAATAACTTGTCAATACAACAAAAAAGATGTGATCTCTTCAAAGGCTACTGGAATACTAAAGCCCAGTCATGTGGGAAATTAGGCCTTGGTATATACAAAATGAGGCAGATGACAGACTAACAGAATTCTGCCATGATAATTTGATGTTCATAAGAAATACTTTTTTCACCAATCTAAACAACTGTACACACAAATGTTACCAAATGGAATAAATTGACTGTATATTTTGCAAGTATAGATGAAGTTCTGTTCAGCCAGTAAAAAGAAGATATGATGCTGACTATGGCTCAGATCATGAACTTCCAACTTCAACTAAGGAGACAAATGACCAAGCCAAGAAGATGAATCTCAACAATATGCCATTGGAATGGTCTGTGATGATCAAAGAAGAGGTTCATATGAGAGTCTGTGTATTTATGGATTAAGGTGTTGAATTAGAAACAGAGGCACCCTGGTTTTAGTATACCTCAGTCACTGAAGCACATTGAGTGACTTTAGGTCACTCACTCTCTCTTAGCCCAGTATATAAATTGAGTACATAAATATATTTTAATGAACTAAATTCAACAGAATCCCTGAAGAATCCTAACAGAAATCTGCCATACTGTTAAATATTCCATTCTGTCAGAAGCAAAAGAAGATGTCTATTTATAGACTGAAAATAGGTGAAAAATAGCAAAAGGAAAAGGCCACCGCAACAGAAAAAAAATTACCTACCTAAACACTGAATTCCTGAGAAGGGCAAGAAGTTATATTTAAATAAGCGAAGCAAACAAATGAAGGATAATAATCAAATGAGAAAACAAGAGACTTTAAAAAATTAGAGAAATCAAGCAGAGCTTTTACACAAAGATGGTCATAATAAAAACTAAAAAGGCAAACATCTACTGAAAAAGGAAGAGATAAAGGTAAGCCTAATTACAGAAAGATCCCCATATCATCAATACATATATGGACATAATCAATGAACGTTACTAGAGCCACATTTTCAAAAATTTAAATAGTAAATGAAAAATGCCAACAACAGGAGTTGATGAAATAGTAGCTTGATTGATGATGAGAGCAAATGTTAGTTTTTATCTGTTTTATATTGATGTTTTATTTATCATTATTGTGTGAGTCTCCTTTGGGAGGAGATGGGCAGCTACATAAATTTGATTAATAAAATAATAATAAGTGTCTTATTCAATTGCCACTTTCAATGGTTTAGGGACATCATTATCCAGCAGTGACTATACTGCTTACCTGGAGATAATTGTTTTTGTCATCTCTGTAACTCGCCTATAAAAGTGAAGGTGTGAGGTTTGATTATCACACCTCTTCTAACATGTCGAAAGAGACGCCTTGCGTCTTTGGCTTTTTGAACTCCCATCTAGGGTTGCCAGGTCTGCTTCCAAAAAATAGCGGACAAGCGGGGGGGGGGGTTAAGTAGTAAAAAAAAGTAGACTGTACAGCTTTAGATTACGTACCATTTCATCATAAAGCTTTTGAATAAAAAAAAATGTCCACTATTTTGTGAAAAAAAAATAGTGAACGTAATGTGAAAAAAGTGGACTGTCCACTCAAATAGTGGACACCTGGCAACCCTACTAGTCCCATCTAACGACCTTAGCATTTCTTCCTCTCCCTTTGTGTCGGCGGGAAAAGTTGTGACTCTAAGCTAGGCAGAGGCATCTGGCCTCTTAAAGTCGCCCTTTACATAGCCCGGGCTGGGGGGGGGGAGAGGCCGGGCACAGTAAAAGACCCGCGCATCGCCTGGATCAGGCGGGCGAAGGGAAGGGAAATAACCCCGGCATCTTCTCACCCGCTACTCTCTTAAGTCCTAGGAGTCTAGGACAGTGATGGCGAACCTTTTAGAGACTGAGTGCCCAAACTGCAACCCAAAACCCACTTATGCATCGTCGGGTGCCAGGTGGGCGTGGCCCATTGGGTGGGTGTAGCCCATTGGGTGGGCGTGGCTGCGGTGGTAACCGCAGACTGGGTGGGACTAAAAAGTTCAATCAATCAATTCCAACTTTGCAAGATCTTTTTTTTTTCCGCGAGAAGTTGAAATTGACTGATTGATTGAACCTTTTTTTTTTTTTTTGCACACGGTGGTGGAGGCCTAAAGCGAAAAGGTTTTATAAAACCCAGCTGAAGGCCTAGGACTGGGGCGACGGCGCGCGTGCCCACAGAGAGGGCTCTGAGTGGCGCCTCTGGCACCCGTGCCATAGGTTCGCCACCACTGGGCTAGAAGGCTGGAGAGAGACGGAAGAGCTCGGTTGTTCCCGCAGACCTGCACATCTGGAGCGGTCGCTTCTTCCCCCGTAAGTTAGTGCCGGCCGGTTAGCCATCCGCGTCCACTTTCCCCTCCGCCTATCCCCAAATTGAGGAGGAGGAGGCGGCGGGTTTCCACGTCTTACTTGCTTGTTCTTACCGAGCATGATAGGACTGAGGCGGCGAGCCATGCCCTTGGACAGGTCGTACACGTAGAGCTTCACCGAGTGCAGCATCGGAGGCGAGTCCATGACATTGGCCGAGGAAACGGGAAGGGGAGCTTGCAAAAAAACAAAAAAACTTCAAAACCGATTCGAGGCCGCTGGAGAAAAGAGAAGGGAGAAGTCGAAGGGAAACGGAGCTGGCCTAGTCGGTGCGCCTCCCGGCAGCGGCTGCTGTTGCGGGACTAGCCAACTGACAGAAGGTGACTGGAAAGGGGCGGAGGGAGGCCGGCGAGGGGAACGCGCTCGTTTCACGCACGCGTCGCCCCATAAGGCGAGATAAACGGCTTGTCAGCGGGCCTCTTGTGAGGGAGCAGCGCTTGAACAGTAGAAAGGCGGGACCAAAGAGTTTACGCAATTGTTCCATGTGGGACGGCATCGTTGAGGACAATGCGAGCCCGTCTTTGTCGCACGCTATTGGTTAGAACGTGCGGAAGGGGTGGGACGTCGAGACGTTAACAAGGGATAACGGTTTAGGAAGTCGTTGGGCGGTGTGTGTGGGAATTGCGTTTCTTACTGAGGTTAGTGTGCAGTAGAAGGCTTCAGAATGAAATTAATATCAGACTTCATTACCTTTCAATAGAAGAGTAACGCGTTCCGTTTGCTAGGTGAGTTATGTTTCCTGCAGGGGTTCTCAACCTTGGCAACTTTAAGACTTGTGGACTTCAACTCCCAGAATTCCTCAGCCAGCAAAGCTGGCTGAGGAATTCTGGGAGTTGAAGTCCACAAGTCTTAAAGTTGCCAAGGTTGAGAACCCCTGCTAGATCTTGAATCCTCTTGCCCGCTAAAATCTGCCTGTGTAAAACGATAAAATCCCTTCAAGTCGAATTCGACTCTTGGTCTCTTTAGGCTCCGGAATGCATCGATCATATTGGGAAAAGGAAATGGGTTGTTGCTGCCTCCTTCCAAGTTCTTCTTTCCACTTTCCCTGTCTGTTCTATTGGGATTTCCTAGCGGTCTACTTTCCATCTACTAATTGAGCGTGACCTTACTCGGCTTTTCAGCTTAGGTGGGCCAGGTGCTATCTTATAAAGCAGGAAATCGGTAAAAAGGCTTTTAGAATAACTAGGATTGTATTTGTTATTCTCCCAATTTCTCAACAGAGGTTGGCACCAAAGATAATGTATGCTCTTTTAAAGAAATATCCCCAAGAAAATGTGGTTTTTTTTGTGTGTGCGGAGTTTTAAATTCTCGGAATTTAAATACAAGCAGTTGTTTTCGCCCTTAAACCAGCTATCCGAGACACTTTCCAGATTGCAGGGGGGAAAAAAATAAGTACTCTTACAACTGCATCACATCATCTCCCCTCACCGACCTCCTTCAAGACTTCTCGGGCTTCTTTGATTTCTCTGCAGTCGCATCGGGACTTTAAAAATGATTTTGCATTGCTGTACTGCTAAATTACAGCAAGTGAGGCAAAAATAAGGATTCAGCTTAAACAACGGAAGGCAAACTCTCTTACAGTACAGGCAATCGGAATTTCGGAGTCTCTGCGATTCTTCATTTTATATCTACGATTAATCGGAGTACAAGGACTACTTTACTGAGGCATTTGGAACTTGGTTTGTGTACCGCCGTTCCTGTTTCTCTCTGGCCACTGGAGTTCCTTTATTATCTTTTTTTCCCCAAGGGGCGGAGATTCGTTGTGACTGACAGATTCCGATGCTGGAACCCATCAAGGAGGAAAAACAATAACCCGGATGAGTTGGGGACTTTCTTCAAAGGCCCGTTCGTGAACGCCGGCTTTTTATCGGCGGTAGGTTCGAATCGGGAATGGGTGTGTGTGTGTCGTGGGATTGGGATTACAACTGAAGATATTCGGTCGGCAGATTCTGCCCGCCCTGGCAGCAAATGAGGCAGGGACTGAAACGACGGAAGGGAAGTTGTAAATAGTTGGGACGCCGCTGTTGCTGTTTATTCCTTGATGCAATGTTGTAATAGCGGTTTATAGTTTGAAAATATTAAGGCAAAGCAATTCTACCAGCATTGAAGTAAATAAGTAAGAACATAAAGGCAGGTCTTTCACGTAGAGAAGAGTTCGGGAGCAGCGAATGCCAGCTCTCGTCCCTTGCCGCCTCGGCGCTTCCATTTTCAGGCACACAAAGATGCGCCCAGGGAATTGTTGAAGGCGCTTGGAAGAACGAGTTAATCTCTCCCACGTGGTCCTTCTCCAAAAGAGAAATTTTGGGAGTTGAAGGATGGCAGGGCATCACGCGCTTCTGGAAGTCACGTTTCTGTGCAGTTTCTTAAGTGGACGGACATACTGAATTCAACATTTCCTCTTTAGCAAAGATGTACAATACAGGCTCACAATCCTATATACAAAAAAAAGCTTTACAAATTATTTCAAAATATTCATGCATAAGGTCCCTTCCAACTCTGTTATTCTGTAAGATTGAATCATACAGATGGAATGTAGTTTCAAACAATGGCTTGGCCCATAATAGTGCTAAGTCATGGTGGCTAAGCCACCAGACTAGAAATGGGGGAGACTGTAAGTTCTAGTTCCGCTTTATCTGGGAAAGCGGATAAAGCAGCTTTATCCAGCTGCATGACCTTGGGCTAGTTTCTCTTAGCCTAAGTTACCTCACAAGATTGCTGTTGTGAGGAAAATAGGAGGAAGATGTGTGGGATATGTTTTCTGCCTTGAGTTATTTGTAAAAATAATAAACAATAAAAATAAGTAACAAATGAAATAACTTGATATGATAGGAAAATTCAGTAGCTTCAAGGGCTTAAGAGACTGACAGATTCAACCTTGCGGAACTACCGTAGTGAAAAAAGAAAGGAAAAAGCTAAGAATAATCCATATTGTGTTGAAAGTAGATGTAAAGTAAATATACTTATGAGGAACTTCAAACATCAAAAGAATGTCAGATGAATTTTGTACAGTTGTCAAGAAATGTGTGGTCATAGTTGAAACATTTACCCAAACTAGTATGCTGGATGATGAGAATACTGACAGAAGGCTCTCCTCTAGGTCAGGTTTTTTCATACTTTTTCAAGCTGCAGGATCTGTTAATTAATCTTTAAAATTCCTGGAACCCCTAATCACGAGGCAAACCTTTGGTAATAGAAAATTGGTACTGAAACACACACACACACACACACACAAAGATAGATATGTCTGTTATGGAACCTCATCAAATTCTTACGCAGTCTTAAAGTTTTTCAAATTGAAGTTTGAAAAACCCTGCTTAGAGCATGAAATTTTCCCATATAGATCTGTAGTTGATTATGTGACCGTACCAAAGCCACAAAGAAATATTTATTGCTAAAGTGTTACTACAGTATTCCTGTTCAAATGCTTTGGAAACAGCTGGATAAAATACCTTCTGTATTATCTAGGATATAAACTATTGAATAGATTGATTTTGTCAATGTACTTTATCCTTCAGTAGTTCAGTTTTAGATTAGATTCTAATTTGTTAGTCTCTGTTTTCTTGTCTAATACTTTTTGCTTTTGAAAGCTCTGCAAGTTAATGTGAAAACAACAACTAATGTTGATTATAGATGAATGTAAAGCAAAATAGTTGCTTCTTCACAGAGCATCTTGCCCCGTAAGGTGAGATGGGCTCCCACTCCTCTGGCCTTCCAGAAGAGCCTTAAGACCTGCCAAATGATATGGGGGTCTAAGAGTGGCGTCCAATCCTCAAGGTAGCTGGTGGTTTGAAGGAGCTCCCTCTGCTTTTTTAAACTTTTCACTGTTTAATTTTTTAATTTTTGTTTTAATTCCATTTTTAACTCTATTTTTAAGTGTCTTTTTTATATGATTGTATGTTTTTATATATCTGAATCATGCAGTTCAGATGGGTAATGTAGAAATTGGATAAAAATAAAATTGGATAAAAATAAAATTAAAAAATATCATAAATAATCCAATTTATTTTTCAAGGCATGCTATCATAAAATTTAACAACAGTTTGCCGACTGGCTGAGCATTTAAATTGCTTGAATTTTCTCTATTAAGCTTATTGGTAGATACTGTTAGCTCATTCCAAGTTTGTAAAATACTATCTTATGGTAACCAGTATGGATATTAGGAATTGTAATTATAACATGTAGTAATATGATAGATTTATAATTGTCTTATTTTACTTATTGTCCCTCTAATAATATTCTATGGGATATTTTGTTTACAATAATTCAGAGTTTGACAAAGTTATTAATCTCTTTTGGTGCAGGAGACTGAGCACCTCTTTCCAAAAGTGAAATTAGAGAGATGACTAAGATGTTGTCAGACTGTGGCTATTTTATTATTTTTATTTATTTTTAAAACTTTATATTTCAGGGGCCTTGTATATGGTTATTATGTCATCTATTTCTGCTGTCCACGTAATGTGTTTAGCCAATTGTGCAATGTGTTGCTGCTTACTGAAACAATATTGATCTGATGGATAAATTTAAGAGCTGGGAGACTGAGCTGAAGCAAAAGTAGGATGTGTGACCATCTTCATGTTTGCATCTGTGGAAAGACTTCTGTCTATGGAAACCAGTCTGAATATAGGAACAGTTTCCCCATTTCTCTTTCTTATAAGTTATTTATCTGTATCACTCATTTTTTGTAGTTAATACAGGGGAACCATGTCAGACTGGGTATCTTACTACAGAAATGAGGGAGAGGAGGAGGAGGAAGAAGAAGCAGCAGCTGAAAACGTTGGTAAGACTCATTTTCAAGGTGTGCATATGCTGTTAATTTGCCAGATAGAAACATTGAGGGAAATTTGCAACTAAATTACAATGGTATGGGGGAACCAGGCATCTTTTTATGTGAAATGTAATAAGTGGCATAAGTAAAATTTTGTCTCTTTTATGTGAAAATTGGTGCAGTGTCCTGAAAAACTAAAACATACACTGGTGCATTCTGGATAAAACAAGGCTTTTCCACAGTAGGTACCCTAATGCCTACAGGAAGCACACTTGCACAATGTGAATTGTACACTTTCCTCAGTATAGGTATAGGTGTGATATAAGGGTCCTTGGTAACTTTTTACCTAGTATAATTATTGCTGAAAAATGAGAACAAATAGAACAGGCTGCTTTAAATTGCTTTTAAATAAAACTAATGCTG